TCTGGTTTTTCGGAGCACTCTTTTTCATCTTTTACATTGTTGTAGAATTCACAACATGACATTTTAAAATTCATAACGCATTGAGTTATAAATTTCACTGTGTCGATAGAAAGCAAATTATGCTCATCTGTCCATTGAGTTTCAATTAATGAGAACACGCGTTTAACATGCGCATTAAGCGGTGGAATGGCGAACAAATATTGGCACATTTTCAATAGATTACCTTTTCTTTCCATCTCTTCAGTCTTTATGAAGTAGTACAGCCATTTATCATGCACACTTTCATTTTCCATTCTTCACACGGTTTTCTTTCAATAAAATATTTCATATACACAACTTCCTCATAAATCGAATCCGTAAAAAGTATACCGTTTTCCACTGATCTCAAAATAATAACTGGATAGCGCATTCGGAAAAATTTTTGAAGCCAGTTTTGGCCTACCAAGATGGCGGCGTAGTTTGCCATCGGTTATAGAAGTACCGTTTAAAAAATCAAAAAACCTTAAGCGTAATCGATAAAGATAAAATTTTAAACACAAATAAGGTTTTTTTTTTTTAAAAAAACAATTTTTAAAAATAAAAGTAGGTATATATATATAATATATATATATATATATATATATATATATATATATATATATATATATATATATATATATATATATATATATATATATATATATATATATAATATATTTATACATATTCATCAAAAATATATATACATTGCTTAATATAAATATTATTTATCCTAATATATATATAATATATATATATATTAGGAAAAATAATATTTATATTATGCAATATAAATATGTATAAATTTATTTTATAAATATGTATAAATTTGTTTTATTATAAGATAAATAAAATCCTTCAAAAAAATTTAATAACAAATTTATGTACCTTTTAGTTCTTAATTATCTTATGCTGTGTGCTAGAAGGTTAATAACACAACTGCATGATAGGCAGCTTAGTATCTGTTTAATATGAATCAGTCTTAAAAAAATTTGTTTTAAACAGATACTTGTAATGTATATATGCTGCATGAACTATTAGCTGAGCTCTGTGAGTACACACAACTCAGAGGTTCCTTCTAGAGTTTGTTATCATTAATTATTTTAGTTTAATTTTAATAGATTTTTCTTTTAATACAAATAAATATACTAACTATATACACACACATAAATATACTCACCTAGTACATTTAAGTGAGTATATATATATATATATATATATATATATATATATATATATATATATATATATATATATATATATATATATATATATATATATATATATATATATATATATATATATATATATATATATATATATGTTTTTTGGATATACCATCAAGGTGTTTAATGAACAGAGCTATAATATAGAAAATAATAAAACTATGTGTTGCAATCATCAGGTGAAATACTTTTCATTTTTATTTCACCTGATGATTGCATCAGCATGAAACTTAATGTTGTAATGTTGTAAAATTTGCATGAAATTCGTTTTATTTTCTACTATATATATATATATATATATATATATATATATATATATATATATATATATATATATATATATATATATAAATGTTTGTATGTATATTATATATATGCATATATAACTCCTGATAAGTCGTAACCTTTAAGTGTCCGAGGAAATACTGGAAGTTCAATTTTTTAAAGGTTTGAGTTATCAGGAGTTTACTGTGTATATATCGATGACACAGTGCACAGATGTGGTAAGTGCTAGATTAAAACTGTAGAAACTGTCATTTGTGTGCGTAATTATAATAATAAGAGTTTTTGTATTTACCACATATTGTCAATTATTAGACTCTTTATCGTTTATCCTACACATACCATATTTATTCACAATAAACTATAAATAAAAACAGGTTTTTCTGCGTACTTATCTCAATTTGACCAAAATTTGTACTTACCATATCTGTGCACTAAAATGGTATACTAAAAACAAATGTTTTCATTGATTTTTGAATAAGACAAATTTAATCAACTGCTTCCTAAACTTTTTTCCAGTCAATTTGTTAGTTACTTCTTTGCATTGGTGATGAAAGTGTATTTTTCAGTAATTTTTTGAAATAACTTTAATCAGTGAGAATAAATGCTTATCAGTTAAAGACAGGGGCGGACTGGCCATGTGGAAGATGTGGACTATTCCACATGGGCCGTTGTTAAGTACTTTGTTTTTACGTATATGTATTCTAATAAATTTTTTCTGTTCGATATTTATTCATTAATGTATATATTTATAAATTAAGCATAACTTTGTAATTTACGTCTGTTATCTTTGCTGCTTTTCCTCATTTTTCGTTGGCCTACAGGGCCGTTAAAAATATTTTTCCACATCATAATAATTTGGCCAGTCCGCCCCTGGTTAAAGACGAATCTAGCATATGATGAGTTAGCTCTGTGAATACTTTTGATATATCAACTGATCTCAAAACAACACTTGCATTTGCATTTTTAATTCCTATATCATTAGGGAGGGTAATCTTTGTTGATGTAAGAAACCTTTGGAAACATCTTTCTGTTCCTTCGCATACCAAAACAACACTTTTGCTTGGTTTAACTAAACCTCCTCTAGAGAATTTATTCTCAATAAAATGTAACATACATATGTTACATCTTTACATACTATGTATGTGTTAAACTGTCAATAATTATCCTTCAAACTTTGAGGAATAATTATTCACAGTTGAGTTTGACAAGAGTTAGACTTTAAATCTAAGTCATTGAGAGATAATTTTTTACTTTAGAATATAAATATTGTTTTATATTTTCACTGAATATTGAGTCCAGAAAGTTAATGCATTAAATAATAAAATGACTTTTATAATCCTAGAAGGAACCTCTGAGTTGTGTGTACTCACATTTCTCAGCTAATAGTTCATACAGCATTTGTACAATAATGTTTCTACCTACAAAACTCATGATTTTAAAAGATAATTTTTTACTTTGGAATATAAATATTGTTTTATATTTTCACTGAATATTGAGTCCAGAAAGTTAATGCATTAAATAATAAAATGACTTTTATAATCCTAGAAAGAACCTCTGAGTTGTGTGTACTCACAGTTCTCAGCTAATAGTTCATACAGCATTGGTACAATAATGTTTCTACCTACATAACTCATGATTTTAAAATTCTTTAAAGATTGTAGGTAGACATCGTTGCTGCTTACCATACAGTTGTGTTATTAACCTTCTAGCACACAGCATTGGGTAATTAAGAACTAAAAGGTACATAAATTATAAACCTCATTTAAAAAGTGTATACTAGCTGAATATTTTAATAATCAAATAAATTTATTTCGCCATCTTATTTTCCTTCAAAATAGTTTACTTTTCTTATTCGGTCAGAATTTTTATACGATTCAAACCGCTAACAGTTCTAACCGACGCCATCTTGGTAGGCCAAAATTGGCTTCAACTTTTTTTACGAAAAACAATAGAATACGCTATCCAGTTATTATTTTGAGATCAGTGACCGTTTTCACTGAAATATGTAATGGCTTTTGCAACGTTTTCCCATTCGGGTATTTTGTTGTGAAGCAACATACTTGGCCATTGGAACTGACCATTTTTCCAAATAATTAATTCTAACGTTGAAAAAATTCTCAACATCATTTTCGAATTCTTCTTCTTGTAATATAGGAATTTCATTATACTTTATAATTTATTGCGTTTGGCTTGTTTAAATACCTAAAAACTTTCGATTATTTTATTTCAATTATTCATTCCGTGCCTTTCTCTCCCTCCAAAATTAGTATGAGTACTATCAGCCCCAAATGCCACCAGGCCTTTTGCTGGAATATTATAATTGTTCAATGTATCTCTATAAAACGCTGTTATTGTATCTGCGGTTTCATTAAGCAAGGTTTGTAACTCATGGAGTTTAACTTTTGAGCCATCACAATCCATAAAATAATGGATTAGTATTGGAAACATCTTCATGTATTTGTGATTACTTAATTTCATAAAAAGGAACCTTTTGTAATTCCTGTTTAATTACCTCTACGGAATGAGGTGCTAATATATTTTTAATTAGAGCAGTTGCTTTTGTTCTTGCATAGATTGTTTGCTTACAATTTTGGAATTTGGAAATATGATGGAGTTGAGTTTAGTTGCGCAGTCTAATGAACTGAATGTCTGATGGTGTTTAACAGTTTACGAGCAGTTGTTAATTCCGCAGCACATATTAAAGTATCTTCTGGAGAATTTTGTATTATCAGAAAAGACAATATATCACTTGATGATGATGCAGACATTAATTTGGAACTGTGTTTACCTGATTTAATGTGATCTCTTATGCTTGATTTTCCACCATGACTCAACGATATAAAAATATTTCAAATGGAACAAAATGCTTCATATTCATTTTTTTGTAAAATTGTCTGAAAAGTGACTTTTCCTTTTTGACATGTTTGTTAAAGTACTCAAATTAAAACGAATATCAAAAATTCAAAAACGGACTGGTGTTAATAATAAATCAATGTCAATACGCAACAGATAATAAACATGATGATAAGTCTTACTTAAAATTTTTAGCACATTTTTTTTTATTTAAAAAAATACTGAAATAGGGAGTCATTTCATTGCAAAGCAAAATTATTTTTTTTTTTTTTTTAATTTTACTAAGTAAACACTTATGTAGCAAAATATGTTTCTTATTGTAAAAGGTGGTGCTTCGTGCGTGCGCATATCAATATTTTTACGAACTTTATGAATTGTAGGAGATTTTTTAAATATGCCTAATAATTTTATATTGACCGGGACAACTTGTTCTTTGACAGGGACACTGAGACATAGAGCTTGAAACCGGGACATGTACAGGTGTACCGGGACGTATGGCAGCCTCACGTTACTATCTTAATTTAAATGTGTATTTACTTGTTTTCATGCGATTCTGCGCATAAAGAACCGTGATGTACTATTAAACAAGTGCGCGCGTAAAATTATGGGAATTGCGATGACGTCTTCAATTCAAATTTGATCGTTGAAAAAAGCTGTTAACATGACTGATGCGGGTGAAATGAACATTAAAAGTTATGTAACTGCTTCTGCAAAATTATTTAGAGAAGCTGTTCTCCCAACTGTATCAAGTGCCTCTGTAACTTCTGTTTCTTTAAATAAAGGAAAAAAAAAGTACCTTATTGAGACTTCTTGGACTCAGAAATGTTTTGATAGAAATAGATCGGCTTCATTTTCATTTTTTTATTCATTTTCAGACGTTAATGGAATCTATAAGCTTAAGAAATCCTGTAGTTTTCCGATTAGACGTGAAAGCGTTTTGTTAGAAAAAATTTCTTTTTCTCTTAATTTGAAAGCTCTAATAATAAAAGAAACTAACTCTGTCACTAAAAAAGATGAATTTATACTAGAAATTTGGAGCAACAAATCTGTGAATCTAATAAAATCAATAAATCTTAGTGCTTGTGAAAAACATGGAAATGTACTTTCAGACTCTGTATTTAGCTCACTTGATTGGTCACCTGATGAAGATAAGATTGTTTATTTAGCAGAAAGAAAAAAGCCAAAGTGTACCACTAATATGTTTGAAACATGCTCTATTACTAAAGAAGAAGATAGTGATAAATCTATTTGCAACAAATTTAATTATGAAGAATCCTGGGGTGAACAAATGACAGAAGTTATACATCCAGTAATTTGTGTTGCTGATTTATTAGAAGGAACTATTAACATTGTTTCCAATATTCCTGATAACATATCACCTTCTCAACCACAGTGGGGACCTGGAGGTACCATTATATTTGAGGCAATTATAAATTATCCCTTTCGACTGGGAATTATTTATTGCAGTAATCGAGCTAGTTATCTATGTAGTGTCAAATATAAATGCAACGAAGAGCCTGTTTTTATTACAAAACCATCATCATATGAAAGCAATTACTGTCCACGTGTGAGTCCTTGTCAAACAAAGCTCATATATATTCACCGAAATTTATCTGGTAAAGGAGATCCGCATCAAGGTGTTGAAAAATTAAAAGTTTATTTTTTTAATTCGCAAATCAGCTCTGAAATAGAAACAGAGTTTCCACTGTATGTTTATAGTTTACCAAAAAATTGTTGGCTTAATTCTTACAGTGTTATAATACCAAATTTGGAACAAGCTGAAAGTAAAGCTATTTTGATCAATACAGAGACTAGAAAAATTATTAAAAAAGTGAATTGCAGTACAATTTTAGATGTGCAGCAAGACATAGCTATACTTTCACACATGACGTTAGATTCAACAGAAGCTAATATATCAGTGATTTATAACAGTGAACACATTGAAACATGTCAATCTACAGTAAATTTGAAAAATCAAAATTTTAAAGCTGAATCATTTATCACAGGTGGTTTAGTATCGTGGTCACTGTCTTTGAAAGAAAACACTTTACCTAAACCATTAATTGTTTGGCCACATGGAGGTCCTCACTCTGTAATTTGTAACAATTACAACCACTATGCTCAAGTATTTTGTCAACTAGGATATATTGTTTTGCTTGTAAATTACAGCGGTTCCACAAGTTTCAGTGAAAAATCTTTGATGTCACTTCCAGGCAACATTGGATCTCAAGATATTTATGATGTTCACAACATTGCTTTAAATTTTATATCAGCGAATCAAAGTATAGTCGATAAAGAAAATGTATATGTTTTTGGGGGATCTCATGGTGGTTTTATTGGCGCTCACCTTATTGCTCAATATCCTGATTTTTATTGCGCAGCTGCTTTAAGGAATCCAGTCATAGAAATAGCCTCCATGTCTGTAACATCAGACATTCCAGATTGGACATATGCTGTTTCTGGACTTAGTTATAATTTTTCTAATGTTCCAAACCCTGAGGTGTATAAAGTAATGCTGGAAAAATCTCCTGTAATTCTTGCAGATAAAATTAAAGCACCTGTGTTGTTGTGTGTTGGTTCAAAAGATGCTAGAGTGCCTCCAACTCAGAGTATACACTTTTTTAAACTGTTAAAGTCACTTAACAAGGATGTTAAAATGCTGATGTACCCTGATGATTGTCATCCTTTGTCAAACATTGAAACAGAAGGTGATGTTTTTCTTAATGTATCCTTGTGGTTTTATCAGCATAAAAGAAAAATCAGATTGTAAATTTTATAGTTTAGTTTTGTCTTTGGCAACCAACATATCCTTTTTTACAATAATAATTACAGATTTAAAGCAGAAGCGCCAAATCAACTGCATGTACCAAAATCGGGGGGGGGGGTTCCTTTTTAACATGTTATGTTTTCATTATTTGGAATATTTGGAATACTTGAGACCATTTGTTATATAGTTTTTATATTTACAAAAAACTTTTTTGGTATTTTATTGTTTAAGTTTGCTATATATGAATTGTGTTTTATTTTATTATTTTAAATTATTAGTTCTACTTTATGTAATTATTTGTTATTAATTATTGTTAATTATTTATTGTTATATCTAGGAAATTAAATGTCAATATACACTTGTTGTAGCTAGGAAATTTAATGTCAATATACACTTGGGCAACTATGATGTGTTCTTAAATTTACTTTAATTTAATAATCTGGTATTCTAATGACTGTAGTATAAATTATTTACTTTAACATAAACTTGTTAAGCTTGTATAAACAGCATATAAACTGTAATAAATAGTTAAATACAGAATTTAAAGCTGTACTAATCCTACTCAGGTGGTTTAAGGCCAGTCCAAATTTTATTAGTAGTTCGACTGACTTTTTACATATTTCATTTAAAACAAACTGTTTTTTAAAAATTGTTGGTTGAACTAAATAATACCTTGCAAAAAAAAATTTTTATTGACGATAATATAAGGGTTGACGAAAATTGTCATTTAACTAAAAGAAGAACAATTAGTGGTTAAAAACACTAAGCTCAACTTTTTCTAGTGTGTGTAGTTAGTTAGGAATTTTAATTTAAACGTTTACAATTTTAATTTTCAATACCAAAACTAATTAATGTATATATTGGCGTCTACGAATATGTTGCAAAAAAAATAGTGTTCCGAGCACTGCTCGGAATTTGAAAACAAATGAACCATGTTAGTCCATTTATTTTCATCGATTTTCATTATTAGAAAAGTTTGATTAGACATTAGATTATCCAAAAACAATATCATTGAATGTCGCTTGGGCCAACGAGTTTTTAACTCGTTGTTAGAACAACGAGTTAAATAGGATAGGTTAGGACAGGTTGTCCCATAAAAACAACTTATATTTGAATTAAACGTGAATGGTCCACAAAGCAATGAACCACGAAATTTATAAAAATAACAGTAATATATAATAATAAAGTTTTATTTATAAAAAGATCACAAATTACCAATTAATTACTAACTTAATCTACAGGCACTAAAGAATTACTACAGTACAAACATTAAAATAAATTTTTGGCTTGTTTCTCTACCCAAGTCAAATGTACCTGCCACTGACAGCTTGAACACAGTATCCACACAGCCTTGGAGAGCTGCTTGAGAAGGGCTTAATTTTCTCACTCAAATGTTGATGGGTACATATTTCATTTTTTGAGATTTGTTTGTAAAACAAAATCTGCACCTTTTTTTTTTTTTTTTTTTTTGCAAACAGATTTAATTATATAAGTTGCTTTCAACTGATTATGAAGACCATCGTTTAAGTAACGTGGGTTGATAGAAAAGCGTTTGATGTGTTTAAGACAATTTGTCTCTATCATCCACCCTTAAGAATATGCTAGTCAATCACATTCGACTGGTTCATCAAAAAAAAAGTCATTCAATATCAAATCTGGAAAACATAAAATATGGAAGTACACTGCTGCCATTCGCACTAACCGCCAGAGCCACATGTTACTCAATCTGTTATTTATTATCAGACCGTTGCACAATTGTAATTTCCATCTCACCAATACTTCATGTCTTTAATAGTATGTCGTAGAATAATTTATTTTCAATTATATGTCGTAGAATAATTTCCTGACACTTAGATCGATATATTACAATATTAACACTTTTCTGTGGAAAAATAACACATTTTTTATAAATATACATAACAATATAGGCAATTTAAATAATTTGATAAATATCGTTTTGGTGGATTGACATAAATAATTTTTTTTTCAGTTAATATATTTATATATGTTCTATAAGTAGTAAACGATCTTTGTATGCAATTGATACTAGTTTTATTTCCATTCCATATGGAAAATACTCTCCATAATCTTACTGACTTCTTATGTTAAGTTTTGGCGCTTCATGCTTCTTCTGGAGTAAGGTTTAACTAATGATGCCCCATCCAACAAATTATGATGGTTCGTATTAGTTGTCGTTTATTCATGATTGAAAATTTTCTTTATGATCTGACTGAAACAAACTGTTGTGTAACTGCTAAGACTTATTAGAATCATTTATTAATATATTATACAAGAATATTCCGCTAAACTTTGTTTGATTTATACTTAAAAATTTGTCTCGCCAAAACAGTAGTTCAGTTGAAATCGCTAAGATAATTGCTTGGGACGTAACGCATTTAAGGTTACGTCATCGCTTTTTAATGTTTATAAAAAAAACTGAAAATATTTGTTGCTAAACATGCTAAGTTTGAAAAGATAATAGCTGACATAGCTAGAGGTACAGAAAATAGGTTTTTTGTTTTCATATGCATAAAAGGTTAAAATTTCAATAACTTATGTTACTGATCAAAAATGTTAAATTTTACATTTAAAAATAATAAAATTAAATATATAAATGCAACAAAAAAAATTTTTTTTTTGACAAATACACACCAATAACGTTAGAATATGATAAAATAGACACTCATTAATAAGTGCTCTAAATTTCAACCGTTAAGCATGTATCTATGTCAGCTAATCTTTGTTGGCCCAAGACAGGTTTTCATTAAAAATCTCAAAAAACAGAAAAGTGATCCCAAATCAATTTCAATATTTTAACAATATTTTATTATAGTCCGTTTAATGTAAATATTTTTTTAACAAGGAAAGATAGATCTTTTATTTATTTTTTATTCAAAGATGAAAGCATTTCTAGAAAAAAAATACTATTATTTTAAAGTTAGTGAATTTTTATACTTTTTATGCGGAAATTTTTTTTTTGATAAACTCATGACGTCATGCTTACTTTTATATAGAGTGAAACAGCCGTGTTAAGTAGACCAAACTAATTAGATGAAATTAATTTTGCCGGTATGAATACTTTAGTGAGCCATTGAGTAAATTGTTTCTCTTCCATCCAACTAGACTTGGATGTTGTAAATACGGTGTTTGACGGTCGCCTACACAACAGTCATTGTACAGACGTGATATATCGCATAATGGTTTGCCTTAAATGAACTAAATGTTATAAAAGCAATTTTAAAATCGAATATTATAAAAAATACTAAAATACGTTATTTTTAAAAATTGGATTATGATATTTTAAATAGCCAAGACATAAATAACCATGCTCACAATGAATAAGTAAATAAAAAATCTTTGGAAAAGTTATTTGATTGATTGCTGCAAACAACGCAAACCTCGTGAACCTTCTAAACCAAGAAAATTTATCAAATCTACCAGTTTAATGAAGGATTACTGATAAAACTGGTTAATATAAAACAAAACAAAAAAAAAGAAAAAAAAAGAAAACATTAAAGTTCTATATCAAATCAGCAAAATCATTTCAGTCAGCTTAAGCGGTTTCTCGGTGACAAGACATCACGGTCTTCTACGAGTTTTTCGTAATAAGTCACATTAAGTAATCAGTTCCTGTTTATTTCCTCCAATTTAATTTTAAAATGGCGGATTTTTTTATTTATTACTCATAATTCTACATATTATTTTAGTAAAAAATGTATCATCATCTAATTAAAAGCACACGGATTCTGTTGTTTGTGTGACATACAGTGTATATATATCATATAATATATATGGTTATATATATACACTATTGTATATGTCAAATATACAACAGAATCGGTTATATAATCCGTGATACACATATACTATATGTGTGTATATTTTTTATTTATGTATGTATATATTGTATGTGTATGTGACATATACAAGTTGTATATGCATAACTAAATAAACAAAGACGTACGGAATACGTAAGGATATTTAATATACTGTTGTATTACAACAGTATATTAAATATCCTCACGTATTCCGTACGTCTTTATTTATTTAGTATATACAACACGTTTTATATACTAAATAAATAAAGACTCAAATGAATCGTTTCATATATGGAAAAAATTTGTCTCTTCTTAAAATAATATATCTTCAAACATAAAATTATTTGCATTGCATAACCTTTTTTATGTTTAATTTTTATTTTCAGATTACCCACAACAAGCTAATATCATGGTTACACCCTATGTTTCAACGCATCCTTTAATTTCTGATCAAGTGCAATTACCTTCACATGGTGGGAAAATAAGAAAACGTAAAGCAAACTGTTATAACTGGAAACAGTCAAAAAGAAAGCGACTTAGACAATCAGGAAAGGAATATATAAATGCTAGAGGCAAAGTTATTCAACCAAGAAGTATTAAAAATAAAAAAGATTGTAAAAATTGTTGCAAGTTTAAGTGTTTTGAGAAGATTTCAGAAGACGAGAGAAAAATATTATTTAATGGACTGTGGGGAATGTCTCAGATTGAAAAGCAACACTTTTTTAGTAAAACTACTGAACGATTAGATAAAAAAAGATCTCGAACCAATAAAGTAAGCAATTCAAGGAGAAAATATTCTTATTTTTACAATTTCTTTGTTGATAATATCAAGCATCGTGTATGGAGTTTTATTTGTCTACATTAGACATCAGCAGTAGGCAAATATCATACTATCATGAAAATAAACTTGAAACTGGTGTTCCTGCCCCAACAAAATGGGAGAAACATTGTAAAAAAAAAGTTCTTGAAATGACTAAACAGAGTATAGAAAACCATATCAACTTGTTTCCACGAGTTAAGTCACATTATTGTTGAAGCATTTCCTGCAAACAATACTCTGATGGGTCATTAAATTTGAAGAAACTTTATAATTTGTATTTAACATATTGCACTCAATATGAAATTTCACCAGCAAAGGCATGTATGTACTGCAATGTTTTTAATACAAAATTTAATATTGAATTTCAAAAGCGGAAAAAGGATCTGAGTGATACATGCTACAAATTTCAAATTATTGAAGATGCAAATGAAGAGCAAATCCAAAAGTATAACAAGCATATTGGACCAAAGAATGAAACAAAAATCGAGAGAGATATGGATCGAAAGTTGAACTCCCCTTCCACAACCATAGTTTGTATTGATCTACAAAATGTCTTGAGCTTGCCAAAAAGTAATGTGGGAAACTTCTTTTATAAAAGAAAGCTCAGCTGTTATAACTTAACAGGTCACTCTTCACTGAACAAAAAAGCATATTGTATATTATGGCATGAAGGTATGTCAGGTCGTTCTGGTAATGACATTGCCAGTGCTGTGATATGTATGCTAAAAAATTTTTACAAGGATCTTCCTAATAATTATAAATTTATA